TCTGCCTTCCCCCTGACCGGAGGGCTTGGCCCCATGAGAGCATGTGTGGTCCCATACCACACATTGTGGTTGTGGCTGCTGCCAGGGGCAGGCTGGAATGTTGGGTTATCTCTGGGGGGGACCAACACCAAGGAAATAAACCTGCAGATACCCCCCCAGGAGCTGGGAGGGGGAAGGTATTTGGGGCCAAAGGAATGGGTTAGTGGTGCAGGGATGGCTGATCTCTGCCTCTCCTCTCCCAGGTGGGCTGCAGCCACAGGTTGGGATGCCGGGCGCAGGGCCTGTCCCCTTGGAGCGTGGACAAGGTAAAACAGACATGGTTGATGCTGTGTGTGGGGTGAGCCTCCCTCCAGCAGGGCCCAGGCTGTGAGTGCTGAGCAATGCAGCACCCAGAGCCCCTGCCAGCCACCTGCAACCTGGCTGTGCCTGCCCCTGGGGCAGCTCCACAGTGCTGCGCTGTGGTAGCACAAGGCTTAGCCACAAGGCTGTGGTAGCAGCTCTCTGGCTCCCAGGACTCAGCCCGTGCACCGGTTTGCTCCCAGCTCGTTCTGTGCTATGCTGTGCAGTCGTGCCCTGGAAGCCAGGGAGAGCTGCCAAGCCCCGCCGAGTGGGATGTGCCTGTGTTTTCCATCTCTGCGAGCCCCTGTCTGTACCTGTGCTTGTGCGGGCAGGCAGAGCTTGCTTTTCTCTGGTCCCTGTCCTGCTCCTTTGCTGCCTGCGTGCTGGGAAGCAGCTGGTGCGGCCACTGCGTCCTCCCCCGCCGTGCCCAGCAGAGGGAGCTGGGCCTCCGCTTTGGCTTGAGGCTTGGCTGGGAATTTCCCGGGGAGTGACGGCTCGGCTTTCCCTCCGCAGGCACGGTCTGTATGGCCCAGCCCCGTAGCCAGATTCCTTATGGTCCACGCGTTGCCATGTGCCAGGGCTAGGGAGACCTGAGCGTTCTTGTTCTTCCAGTAACAAAGCATGCAGGCACCTGACACTCCTGTTGTCTTGACTTGTATCCTAGGCCTTGTTTCAGGAACGTGGTAAACCTGGTCTGAGATACTTTGGCCTTAGGGGTAGCTGACTCTTGTTTTCTTTGGAGTGGGCAATGTCTTTCTGAGAACAGCATGGTAGTTCTTGGCACCCGAAAGGTTTTGGAGAGTAGAAACTGTGGGCAGGGGCAGAAGCAGGAGCTGACTGGTTGTGTGTTGTGGGGCCAACGTGGCCCCACAGAGTGCCACGTCTTTTGGCAGGTTGTCTTCCTTCCCTGCCTCTCCCTGAACAAGGGAAGGACTGTGCCACGCTGGCTGTGCTGCCTGTGGTGACAGAGGTGGTGTTAATGGAAGAGGTCGATAAAGCCAGATCTGCTGCATCTTCTCTGTAGGTTTTCCTGGGGACTTTAGGAAGTGTGATCTTGCAGGCAGCACTGTCCCCAAGGCTGGGTGCATGTGTGCACACACTATTTACGTGTCTGCTCTTTCCCTCTTTTCCTGCTGCTTGCCCAGGGAACCTGCAGCTCTCGCCCGTGGGACCTGCCAGGCCTGCGTCTATCGAACGCGTCCAAGGTATCCCAGCACCCGCCAGCTCCCTCCTCCCATGGAGCTCATTGTGGAGTGTGCAGAGAGCAGCTTTCACCCCGCTATGCTGAGGCCTGGGGACTGGCATATCACTCCCTGTAGCCTGGCAGGGTTAAGAGGAGGAGGAGGCAGGATTTCCTTTAGGGCTGCAGGAGAGAACAGTCTAGAGCCATGCATGGAGCCTCCAGTGGAAAAGGAGAGCCCTGTTCGGAGAGGGCTTTTGCCTAGGGTCCAGCCTCCTTTGACACTGCACTTCCAGGAGTCTTCCAGGTCTTGCTTTACTCCTGGCCCCATGTCAGCAGGGTGTTGATGCCCACGCTTGTAGGGATTGCCATGGGAGCACCCACGCTTGGTTTGACCCCTTGTGCCATAAGGAGCCTGAGGTAGATCCAGGGAGGAAAAAGAGAGGAATAAAATCAGCAGCCAGGAAAGGGGCTTTGGTGTGCTCCAGCCTTGGGTGTGGGGCTGCCTCCCCAGCAGTGCAGCCACACCCGGCCCCAGAGCGCCGGGGACGGTCTCGGCACGGCACTGGTCATGCAGATCCTCACGAGCTCTTGTGTGTCTCCCTGGCAGTGCCCATGCCAGACCCGAGGGCCCCTATGCAGCGTGGACCTCTACCTGCTAGTGGCCCGCCGCCCCGAGGCCTTTTGGGAGATGCCCCGAATGACCCTCGCGGAGGGACCCTGCTCTCAGTCACTGGAGAAGTGGAGCCCAGGTGAGGGGAGAGGGAAGGAGAGGAACCCTTGGCACTGTCCCCTGCCCAAGGGTGACCTCTCACTGAGGACAGGGATGGCACCAGCCTTCCGGGAGTCACTGCTGCCTGGTCGGAGGCCTGTGTGCTGCCGACCGTGGGGGCCGGCCCATTTCCCCGGGGACGGGACATCCCCGGGGTGATGGCAGCTGCCCTGTGGCATGGGGCCACCAGCACCTATCCCTGTGTCAGCCTCACCCTCCTCCCCTGCGGCCGGCTTCGGGGGCAATCCCAGCGCTCTGCCCAGACCGTGCCAAGCCAGCGTCTGATTCACACTCTCTCGCTTTCTCTCCTCCTCCTGCTTTGCTCTCCTCGTCTCTCTGCATCAGAGGTTACCTTGGGCCGCCCCACCAGGGAGCCCCTATGCACCATATGCCTGGTCATGACAGCCGTGGCCCCCCCCATGAGATGAGGGGGGGACCCATGGGAGAACCCCGACCACTGATGGGAGAGCCGCGGGGGCCCTTGATGGACGCTCGAGGTGAGAGAGGGGGCATGAAATACTGGGTGGCTTAGAGCATGCAGGCAAGAAGAGTAGAGCCAGCTGCCCTGACCTGAGGTGTAGGAAGGGGTTTGGGCAGTGAAATGACTGACACCAGGCAAGGAGGGACTGTCCCAGGGTGCAAGGGACTTTCTCCAGGCATGTCCCCTCTGCCCCCAGCCCTGCACCTTTTGGGTGCTTGCTATTCCCCAGACAAAGGAGGCACAGGCTCGCTCCCACACTCCCTGCAGTGCTGCTCCCTTCAGCACCTTACCTTGTCTTTCCTCCGCAGTTGGAAGAGATCCCCGAGGGCTGGAGCCACGAGGATTGGAGCCGCGTGGGCTGGAGCCCCGGGTGCTGGAGGCGCGAGCCCTGGAGGCACGAGGCCTGGAGCCGCGGGTCCTGGAGCCACGAGTGCTGGAAGCCAGGGCCATGGAGGCCAGGGTCCTGGAGCCCCGGGGCCTGGAGCCTCGAGGGCCTGGTCCCAACCCACGTGGCCCCATGCCCGGTGGGATACAGGGTCCTGGGCCACTTAACATGGGAGCCAGTGGCCCACAGGGGCCCCGCCAGGTACACACGTCTCTGCTCAGCTGCTTGGGCACTGACGGCATCCTGTAGATTGGGGCTGGGTGGAGGGTGTCACATAGAGCAACACTTCTGGGAAGCATAAGGCCTGGGACACTGGCTCTGGGTCCCATCTCCCCAGGCACTGCCCATCTGCTGGGGACAGGACAAGGCTCAAGCTTCTCTCCACCTCTTCCTGTCGTTCAGGAAGGAGCGCAGGAGTTGGAGGGAGAGGAGAGCACGTAAAACACGTGGTAGCCTGTCTCTCATCATGCTCAGGCATCTTCAGGCTGTCTGAGGGCATCCGTCAGATCATCTGCATTACCTTCCTGGAGTTGTATGGTTGAGTCCAGATACCCCTCGGTCCTCACCCCCTCTCTCATTCCCACAGGTTCCTAACATGGCAGGGGCAGGCTTGCAGGGAGGAGGCATTCCTGGAGCAGGAGTCCAAGGAGCTGGTCAGCCTGGAGGCTTTAGCCCTGGACAGAGCCAGGTCACCCCCCAGGATCATGAGAAGGTGAGAGAAGAAAAGGGAAAGGGTGAGATGTCAGGAGCAAAACTTCCTGTGTGCCTTTCTGTGGCAGGGACAGCCCCTCCCTGGCTCTGGTAACCCATGGATTCTCCAGCAGGACATGTCTCTGACCCCCTTGTCCCCACAGGCAGCGCTGATCATGCAGGTCCTGCAGCTGACAGCAGACCAGATTGCCATGCTGCCCCCGGAGCAGCGGCAGAGCATCCTCATTCTGAAGGAGCAGATCCAGAAATCCACAGGGGCACCCTGACAGGTAATATCCTTAACCTGACCCTCAACCTGTGCCTGTTCTCCTCCAGTAAATCAGAGCTGCCCAGGATGGGGCTCTGTCCTGCTTCTCTCCATGCCAGACTCAGTATCCTCCCCTTCCTTCTGGCAGGCTTGTGGTGGACAGAGGTGATGCTCCATGGCAGCTGCTTCCTGTTCATAGCTGAGCTGATGCTGCGTTTTGGGAGAGGTTGTGTCCCCTCAATGTTTTTCCCTCCAATTCATCCTTTTTTTTTTTTTCTCTGTGTATATTTTATGATGTTTGAAATAAAGTGGGAGGAGGGTTTGAATAAAGCCATGTCTCTGGCTGCCTTATTTGGTCTCTCGTGGAGACCAGAGTGGGACTCTTGGGTTCTGGGTGCAGTCTTGCCTGTCTCCAGTCTTGTCCAAACCACTTGCCATCCTCCCTCCTCCACAGCACCAGGGCAAGAGCTAGTCCTGGAATTTCTTGTTCCATGCTCTTGGCAGGGGTGTAGGGGAAGGGCAGGACAGAGAGCTTGGCTTTCTATCTCTGCTGGCAGAGCAGGAAGGGCTCCATATTGGATTGCAGTATCACTTACCATGCCAGCCAGCTCGGGGAGGGGAGTTTTCCCTCTTTTTTGCATATGCTAGAGCAGGGTATGTGTGAGCTTTGCATCTGCTGCTGGCCTATGTGCTGGGGTGCCTGGCTCTGGGGGCAGCCTGGCTCTGGGGGTGGCAGGATGGCAGCAAGTCCTTGTAGAGGGGTGTCTGACCCTGCACCTCAGAGGGTTTGCTGTCAACCAGCTGTTTTATTACAGCCCTACAAGAGGTCAGAGCATGGGCTGCTTCACCACGGAGACTCTGATTGCAAAGAAAAGCAAGTTTAATCTTTTACACAAAGAACTGTTTAAACCTGGAGGAGCATGTTTGGCCCCTGATGCCTGTGTCCCATCTGTGTCCTGTGGTTCTTCCCAGCCCACTGGGCGTTCCTGCTGCTTCCCACTGCTCTGGCAGCATCACTGCATCATGTGTCTCTGGTTTGTCAGTGAAGGGGCCATGCAGAGCTGCCAGCCCACTGGCTCCATGAGGATCCCTTGTACACCAGGACAGGCAGGCAGCAGTCTTTGAACCTGGAATTTCTCATGGAGAAAGGAGTACCTTGCTGTGTCTTGCCTGGCTTCAATGCATGCACAGATGCTTATCCCTGGCCTTGCTCTGGCACAGGAGGTGAGGTGAGACGGGCAACGTCCCTGCCCGCTGGGGTTCCAGCCTCGCTGCTACTCAGAAGTTCTCCTTGTTGAAGTAGAATTTGACCTTCCTGGGGTCCAGACTGGAGTGCTGGTGACAAGACTTCTGCAGACTCTTTGCCAGGGCCCCCGGCCCACAGAGGAACACACCAACCACCGACCTGCAAACAGCATGGGGATGTCAGCGCCAGGTGGGCGACTCAGGGTAAAGTGATTTCAAAGCTTTTTAGGCTCCCTGCTGGGGATAGCACACCTCTCCCAAAGCCACTGCCCAGCCCAGTGCTGAGTGCCAGGGAGGAGAGGGGTGCATCCCCGCTTCAGCATTCCGAATTCTGTGCCCACCTCTCACCTGGGGTGGGCTTCAGCCACTACTGCAAACTCTGTGTTCCACATGGGCCGCCCAAAGATGGTTTTCTGCCTGAGGCCTGTCACCGTGTCCGTAGCGGTGTCAAAGTGAAGTGCCACGTTGTTGGCCTGGGCAGAACAGGGATGGTGAGAACCCCAGACACCACCTCTGAGCCCACCTCCAGTCCCTCACCGTGGAGGAGTATCCATTGCTGATCCCACCAAACACCATGCCCGGACTTTGTGCCTGAAAGCCGTTGTCGTGCTTGCCCTGCCCAACTCGGCCACTCCATGTCCCCTCTTGCAGCCACAGCAGCCTCTGGTCAACTCACAATGCTGGTGTCCCAGCCAGTGAGGAAGAGGCGGTAGGTGAGGAAGTCCGCCTTGCCCGACTCGGCCATCTTCTGCTCCAGCGAGGCAAGCAGGTCGTTAAACCAGGCAAAGGCTTCTCTGTCCCGGCAGAGCCAGTAGAAGTAGATCTAGGATGTGGGGGGAGAGGAGTTGCTCAAGATGGAGCAGAGACAGAGGGGTGGGAGAATGCAATGCCAAGTACTGGGAAGCTCAGCATGGAGAAACCCACAGCTGCTCCCATGGGACACTCTGTACCTTCTTGGTCTTGAGGGTCTGGTCAGCCTGCTGGAACTTGTACCAGATGGATTTCAGGATGGAGGCGAAGGGAGTGACGCCGATTCCCGCTCCCACCAGCATGGCCACCTCGTACTGGAACACGTCTTCACTGGCAGTGCCAAAGGGACCATCCACCTCGATCCTGGCCAAGGGAGGGCCTGGGTGAGAGGTGTGGCCTCCTCAAATCCCTGTGATGGCCTGTTGGGGCACTCTCCAGCCTACCTGGGGTTCTCTGACTGGAAGGTGTTGATGAGACGCTCTGTCCAGTCACCAGCCACCCGGACGTGAATGGAGAAGAAGTCCTCCTCGGGTGCAGAGGTGAGGGTGAAGGGGTGCCACTCCAGCGGGGAGATGGCGGGGCAGTTGACAAAGATGTATTGCCCCACCTCCATGCGGAAGCCCTTCTTCTGCATTTGCAGCTCCAGCACACGGGCAGGGTGCATGACCACCTGGGGGCACGGACGGGGCTCAGCACCCAGCCTGGCTCCTGTCCCTGGGAAGGGGCTGCGGCCACCACCCCTGCCCACCTCCCCACGGCCACCACAGCGAGAAGCTGCAGCACCAGCGACTCCAAGGAAAGGAGCTGGGGTAGGAACAGGCTCCTGCACCACCCACCTTCTTGACAACCACCTTCTGCTGCGCACGCCAGACCCGGAGGATCCGCTCAAAGACGTAGAGGATGATGGGGGCCAGAACCCACTTCCAGGACTGTGGAGACAGAGGAAGGCAAAGGGTTGGGGAGGACCAGAGCTGGAGCCTCCCATGGGGAGGGCTTCTCCCCTCGCACCCATTCCAATGCTGCCCTACCTCAGCAGGGATGCTCCCAAACTCAGGGTCTTTGCAGCAGTGGTGGGTGCAGTTCTGGTCCCTCTGCGTGAGGTACTGGGCGCAGCGATGGGGGTCCACCTCTGCCATGCTCTGCTCTGTCTGCCCACGCACCAGCCCACTGTAGGGAGGTGAGGGGTGAGCCCAAGGGCCAGATCCTGCCTCCCAGCCAGGGCTGAGCTGCGCTGCATGAGGCCAGCTGGGCTAGCCCACCATGGGAATGGCAGTTCACAACCCCACTGGACTCTTCCTGGGGTGCCCCACAGGGGATTTGCAGCCACTGCCCCTCAATATCCTGCCTTGGGGAGTGGTGAGGAGTCTTACGCAATGCCGTGGATGACAAGGCCAGTGAAGTAGACAAGGAAGAGGTGGTGTGTGTACCAGAAGACCTCGAAGTAGTTCCTGCGGATGAACTCGGTGGAGGATGTAACCATGAGGATGAGCGCCAGTGTGATGATGACCCCCGTCAGCCCCGGGATGGTTGTAAAAGCCATGTACTCGACGGTCTGCAGGGGAGGCAGGATGGGTTAGGGGGGCAGGGGACAGGTGGTGGCAGGGGGCTGGATGCCAAGGCTGCGCTCACCGTCTCGTTAGAGTGGATGGGGTTCAGCCACTTGTTGTCCTGCAGGTGCATCTTAGAGAGGACAGCGGGGAGGCTGCCGTCAGTGGCTTGTTGGCTCTGGTTGTAGCGCTCCAGGTTGAAGAGGTGGGCAATGGTGTGCACGGCTGGACAGGGGACAGGCAGTCACCCACATGGCCATCCCCTCGTCCCCCTGTACCCCAGCCCAGTGCTGGTGATACCTGTGAGCAGGGCCAGGGCATAGGCCACCAGCTTGTGGAAGGTGAGGTTGTGGTCCAGCTGCTTCCGTAGCGTTCGCCTGCAGCACTGCAGGGAGAGGCAGTGGTGTCAGGATGGGGACAGGGACAGGGACCGGGACGGCCATGCTGGCCATGCCACTGCGGGGCACTCACCAAGCAGGTCCCACGGAGGAAGGAGAGGAGGTTGCGGCAGACGGGCAGCAGGATCAGCATGCTGTTGAAGTTGAGGCACTTGGCTGATGCTCGAGCCCACGCCAAGGCAGACTGGGGAGAAGAGAGGGGTGAGCACCTCCTTTGGTGCTGTAACCGGGACTGGGTTAGGATGGGGCCAAATGATGCTGAGCTGGGACTGAGTGATGCTGGCCTGGGGACTGGGAGGGAGCAATGCTGGACTGGGATGGAGACTTGGAAGGGAGAGGCTGAGCTGGACTGGGATGGGGTGGTGCTGGACTGGGCTGAGATGTTGTTGGGCTGGGACCAGACAGGGATCAAGACAGGGACCAACAAGGAGCAATACTGGGCTGGGGAGTGGGACAGAATGGTGGTGGGTTGGAAGAGGACAGAATAAGGAAGGGGCATGGGATGTTGCAGCCCCACTCCACTGCAGGAGGGTTCCAGGATGCACATGTGCCTGGGCAGGTAGGGTGCTGTAGGAGAGCACCTTACCCCGAGGATGGCCCTGGTGTAGAAATATCGGTCATCTTGGTCAAAGAACAGAAAGTAGTAAGTGAAGAGGAAGATGTTGATGCCCAGCCAGGCTGCCTGTGGGGAAAAGTCACAGCATCATGAAGGGCCCTGGCCTTGGGAGCCCCTCACCCTGCAGCAATCAGGTGCAGACACAGCCAGAGGGTGTCAGGAAAGCACATCCCATCCTGTTTCCTTATGAGCTGCAGCATCATGCACAGGGCTGGGACACAGGGCCAAGGGTGGGCAGAGGTGTGGAAGTCTTGCGAAATTACTGTCTTGTCACCCACAGCCCTGTGCTTCACCCATGCGTGAGGAAGGAGGAAAGGCAGGAGCAGGCAACACCCGTGTAACGGGAAGGCAGGTCCGGAGGTTGGTCGGGGCTGCGCAGGGAAGACTCTGGGAGGAGGAAGTTTTACAGGGAGCTGGCTCACCCAGCCTCACCATCCCTTGCCTAACCCCACTGCTCCCCACACTGGCCCCTCTTACAGCCATTGACTTTTTGCAGAGCTCCCCCAAAAAACACTCTGCCTTCTATTTGTTTTTTTGTTTGTTTGGGGTTTTTTTTAAGGTAACTTAAGTCCAACTTCCTGTAAACTCCCATTTCCCCATGTATTCATAGCTCCCCATACAGTGCCGACTAGTCGATGGGTGCTGGCCAGGCATGCTCTTTTACACCAGTGATGCCACAGCACAGCACTGGCAGATGGTCCCTATGGACCATCTCCATCTCCTCACCCTGGCGTGGGCTCTCACAGGATTCTCTGCTCTCATGAAGGGAGAAGAGCCATGTGGGAGGCTCCCAGCCAAAGTGGGCAAACCAGGAGCATTTTTAAGTTTTCCAGGACCTCCCTTTCCTCTGAGTTGCATTTCCCTTAAGATTTCAGTTTTCCAAACCCCCATCCTTCCCCTGGCTGGCTGGGTACGCAGGTTGGCTGAGCAAAAGGGACTCTTGTCTTCCCAGAGCCCAGCCCTGGGACAGCCCGTCAGCCCCCATTTCTCCCACGAGCGCCCCAGGGCCCGTAGCCCCCACAGCCCCCCGCATTGCCCTACCCCTGTGAGCCCCCCAGCCCACACACTCACGAGGACGGCGGCCGAGAACCAGTGGTTGACCAGCCAGTTGCCCATGGTGCGATGTCCCTGCTCCTGCTGCTGCCTGCCCGCGCCTGCCGCTGCCTGCCCGACGTTTTATGGAGGGAGCAGGCGGTGCGGCAATCCCGGCTGCGGGAACTGCACCACGGGGACTTTCCCCTGAGAAGCCTTCGAGGAAATGCCGGTAGTTTCAAAGGCCACCTTCCGGGAAGGCAGGGCTGACCGCACTGGCCAACCCCAAACCAGCCCCCTGTGCCGGGGATGGTCCCCAGCTGAGGGTCCCCTTGGCACACATGACTGGGTGTGGGAGGGCATCAGGCTGCTCCTCTTGGGGTTTTACAATCTTTGAGGACAAAAATGGGCTTCTTTTAAGGTAGGAATTTCCTGGTGGGAAGAAGTTGCGGAGGATCCATCCTGTGACCGGTTCAACCAATGTGCTGTTTCCTGACCTCCCTCCACTGCCTCTGTTTTACAGAAAAACCACCAAAGGAGGAGAAGCATCCTGGGGACACTGCGCCAGTGCCAGAATCTGGCCCAGGGATCCATTACAGTGCAGATGAGTTAAAACTGAGTACCAGCAGTGCTGCACCTCTGTGAGCACAAGGGGGGATGAGCGTCCTCGTTCTTGTACCCAAACTGACCTGACCCTATAAATGGGTACTGGGGGAGTGGGGTCACACTCCTAGTTTGGGGCCAGGATGCCTGGGTCCTATCAGCATACCTGCTGTTTTGCCAGCCACCTTTCCCCTCTGGCCTGCCCTCCACCGGAGGCCCCAAGCTCTGCAGTGCCCAGCACTCCAGCTGGGAACAGCAGCTAGTTCTGGGGCCCTGAGCCTGGAGGAACAGGTTGGACAGGATTGCTCTTTGCTGGCATGCTGGTTTCTCCTGGCCCCCAGCCATGGCCACGCTGACGGAAGTGCAGGATGAGGCCAGCCCCTATCTCACCGTGCTCCTGAATCTTACCAGCTCCACTGAGGGTTTTTTCCCCCCATCCCCATATGCCCCGCTGGGGCAGCCCCACTTCAGTGCCCATGAACATGAGGGTTATGTGGACAGCAGGTGTGTGCATGCATGCCAGCCCTGACAGGACAGTCCCCACCCTCTGTGTGAGTCACTGCCAGCACCCAGACACACAGCCACAGCAAAGTTTCTTTACTGCTTAAAACAGTCCCAATGGCACCCATGGCCCAAGGTCACAGTATGCATCCTAGCAGCAGGTGGGGGTGTAGGGGCACCCCATGGGCTGTGCACTGCACAGCAACCAGCTTGCAGGTGGTTTGGGCACCCCACAAGTCCTTGAATCGTAGAATCACAGAATAGTTTGGATTGGAAGGGACCTCTAAAGGCCACCTAGTCCAATTCCCCTGCCATCGGCAGGGATATCTTCACCTAGACCAGGTTGCTCATAGCCCCATCCAACTTGGTCTTGAATATGTTCAGGAATGAGATGTCCACCATCTCTCTGGGCAACCTGTGCCAGTGCCTCACCACTCCCATTGTAAGAAACTCCTTTCTTGTATCAAATCCAAATCAACCCTCCTTCACGTTCATATGCATGGTCCTGGGCAGGTGAGCACATTCCTGTCCCCCTGTCACTGTGAAGACACACTGGGACTGGCTGCCACTGCAGGACCAGGCAGTGCCTGGCTCATGCTGCGAGCATCCTCTGACTGCTGGTGCAGCCCAGTGCTGTCCATCCCCATGCCTGCAGTCAGCTGAAAGAGATGGGTGCTAGCTGTGCCTCAGACAATGCTGTGCCTCACACCAGGCTCAAAGGGTGCCTCGAGGCACAGTGGGGTCCCTGGTGGGTGCCGGTGGCAGCAGACACAGTGCAGGAAGTCGGCGACGTTGTGCCGGAAGAGCTGGCGGCAGGGGTGCAGGTACTGGAAGAAGAGGAGCATGAAGTAGATGCCCAGGCAGTAGCCAAGGAGCAGCTGCACTACCAGCAGTGGGGTGCAGACGTTCTCATAGACGTCTGTTTTGAAGAAGTACCAGAGGATGACGAGGGCCGTGTTCTCGGCCAGCCGGGCCACGTAGTACACAGCCAGGCGGCCCCAGTTCTGCGACTTGTCGATGAGGTCCCGGTCAGCCAGTTTGAGCTGCACGGCCGACCAGCAGAACATGTTGATGCTGGCATAGAGGAGGGTGAAGGCGCAAAGCACCACCACTGTGCCTACATGGCTGAAGTTCTTCTCGATGTTGTCAGGCAGGCGGGTGCCACTGCGCCAGAACTGCACCCAGGGCAAGAAGAAGACCACCAGCAGGTTGGCCAGGGCAATGGGGATGATCCAGTGCTTGAAGACGGTGCTGAAAAGCACAAGGACGGCCACGCGGGTGGAGATCTCCAGGCTGCGCCACAGCACGATGCAGAGGAAGGCCAGTGGCCGCAGCTGGACCTTGTAGTCATCGTACTTGACCTGGATGGCCAGGATGTTGCAGACGAGCGCTCCGTAGGTGACCGACACCAGGCAGATGGCCATGAGGACGGCTGCAGAGGGAGAGAGCAGGGGAGTCAGGCAGCATCAGGGACTGCACTGTGTGTCCAGCCTCTCTGCTGCCTGAGGTGCAAAGCCTGGGGTGCCAGCTCCATGTGGGAAACATGGGGTGCCAATCTTGGGTGAGAAGTGTAGGGTGCCAAACCCTGGGGCTCACAGCAGGAGGATCAGTGTGAGCACTGCTGGGACAGCTCACGGCTGGTGGTGACAGTCCCCATGATGAGGTGACTTCGAGGGGAGCTGCTGGCAGCAGGAGGTTCTGCCTGGCTTGGTAGCATGCAGAAGTGGGAGTTAAAAGCTTGCTCTGGCACATCCACCCCCAAGCACATAAACATCCTGGGAGCTCGCGAGGGAGCCTGGGAGTGGGAGTGCTGTCCTAGGAGCTCCGGCTGTTGGGAAAGGTAGAGAAATAGATCCAGTGGAAGGACTGTAGGGAACCCAGAGGCTGTAGCTAGACAGAAAAAAACTAATGGAGACTGGAGCAGGCTGGGGCAGGCACCTGCCATTTTTATGGGACAGGGCACTGAGGGGACAGCATGGCTCTATAGGGCAGTTACCCACAAGCATCGGGGCTGGGAGCAGAGCCTGGCACCTCGGTCATGGCCAACTCTTCCCACTGTCTTCATCCCCACTGCAAGCTGAAAAGCAGAGAGCTGATGAGTGCCCAACTTCTGTGGGTTGTGCTCCACCTTTAGGGGAGTCCAGTGGCAGTTGTGATCCCAGAAACAACCGCTTGGATTGCTTGGATGCCACATTGGCACACACAGCTAAGGAGCTGGCACTGTGCCCTGGTGGGGTTCCTAGGGAGCCCACATGCCAGGCACCCTTACCTCGGGCAACAGGGACGTACTTCTCCAAGACACTGATGTAGAGCTGGACGGTGAGCTGCGGGGTGGAGCCCAGGAAGGCCTGGATGACAGCCATGCGTTTGAAAGCGTTGCGGTGCGTGGCCAGCCGGCGCTCCGAGTGTCCCACCTCCTGCTCCATCTCCACCTCGTAGCCTTTCCGCAGCCAGCGCTTGCGGGTGATGGTGACATAGGGTTCCTCCTTCTTCCCTGATTTGCAGTACACCAGCAGGGCCTCCATGCACCTGTGGAGACATAGGAGCTGTCACCCCACCAGCTGCCACCCTGCCAGCCCCCCTGCTGGCCCCCAGCCCCACTCCTGGCACGTCTAGCAGACTCTTTCCTGGTGCTGGCCAGACCATCCTCCTGCTGAGTGCAGCCCAACTGATTTGGGCAACTGTCCAGCAGTGCTGTGGGCGGTTCCTGGCCCTGGGATGGCAAGATGATGGCAGAGTCACACCCGGATCATGAAGGTGCCTCGTGGCTGCTCCTCTGCTCCAGCACTCTGGATGATCATATGAGGCAGAGGAGCAACAGTTGCCCCAGCGAGGGCAACTCGTGAGGTGAAACAACTGCTGCAAGAGGTGCAGCATCCAGGGTACAGAAACAGTGGCTCTGCTGGGAGCTACAGCTACAGGAAGGTGTTAATCACCTTTGGGCTCTGTTTTCCTAACTGGTAAAAACCTCTTCCTCTAAGCAGAGGGAAGAGAAACTCTGATATTGTCTTTGATCTCTGCTCTTGAGCAGAAGTAGGCTTCCACGCTTCCTTCTTGGTGGGGACAGCAGGAAGGGGAGCACAGGGTGAAGCTGTGTGTGACATGGGCAGATAAGACAGCGCTTCCGCAGGTCCTTTTCCGCGGGGCATCCTCACATGTGGGTGGGGATGTGACTTTCTCCTGTGCTGCTCCTCACTGCGAGGGCGGGGGATCCCCAGCCCCTCCACACACAGCCATGGGGTGGATGTGCATGGCAAGAGGCAATCAGCAGAGAAGGATTCATCTGACAGGCTTGGCTCATGCCTGGGGACTAGCTAGCCCAGGGACCAACAGGATATCATTAGGGCAGCAGAAATTTATCTGCATCAGACCCAAACGGAATGAGGTTTTTGGATAAATTCTCTCGGCAGATCAGGCCAGTGTACATGGCTCATTGCAAACTTGAATGGGAAAACGGTTCCATCCCAAAGGCTCGGCTTCAAGTGCAGTCCCAGCTGGCTCCTAGTGCCCTGCCAGACCTTCTCAGCAGGTTGGGTTCCATCTCCGGCCTGAGCAGACGGCTGAGGCAGTCTATCCCGGGCAGCTCCAGCTGGCTCTTGCAAGCAGCCAAGCTCCACCATAACTATCTCAGACAGCCTTGGTCAGTGTGGTGAGACCCATGACACCACCATGGGCCACTGTGGGCTGGCAGCACTGAGGTGAGGCCCCCCAGCAACCTCTGAAGATTGGATGTGGTGACAAGGACACTTCCAGCACTCTGCTTGTTTCCAGTGATGGAGGAAATGGGGTGCAGGCCACCGTATTTTCGCAGTTCTGTGGGCCCCAAAGAGTGGCTCCTGGCCCACCTTTGGAGATGGCAGCTCTGCCTTGCCTCCTGCTGTGCATTCTCACTGAGAAGGGTGGCCAGGGTGACAGCAGCCCAGGAAGTACTGCAGCATTCCCAAGGAATGAGAGATCAGCACATCTCCAATTTGTGCAATATCCACCCCCTCACTGCCGTCTTCCCAACATAGTCCAGTGGCTCACCAGTTCCCATGCCAGCCCCAATCCTGTACCCAGCTCCTCTCCTCCATGTCCCATAATCCCACCTGTTCCAGGTCTGGGGACCTTCTTTGAGGGTGCTCTTATTCACCCTCGAGCACCCAGTCAGGATTCCCATCTGTGCTCCCAGCAAGGAGATGGCAAACCCCAGACGCTGGGAGAGCCTCTGGTGGCAGCCAGGACTCTGCGAAGTGCCTTTCCAGCAGCTGGCATGCAACAGGCTGGCAGAGCCACGTCCTGCCCGGAGAGGGGTCCAGCAGGCAGAAGCGCCCGTTGCACCACTAGGGAGGGAGGGGCGAGCAGGGGACCCCCTGGAGCCGGGAGCAGCAGCAGCTCCGGGGAGGAGGGACGAGGAGCCGGCAGGAGCAGCTCCGGGCACACCGGACATATGGCTGCTGACAGGCGGTCTCCGGGGCGCCCGTCCTGCCCGGCACCGGTTCCCGCTCTCATCCGGTGCCCGCGGACATGTCGGGGGTCTCCGTGTACCTGCCAGGGGTCCGCGCACCCGTGCGGGGGGTCCCCGCGCCCCCGGCTGTGCTCACCTGATAACGGGGCCAAGCTGGAGCAGGTGCATGAGCAGAACGAGGGGCCGGTCGCGGCTGAGATCGCGGTGCACGAAGGTGAGGGTGAGCTGCACCAGGACGGAGGGGCAGAGCATGAAGAAGATGGTGAGCGCCAGCCAGAAGCGGTCGTCGGAGTGGCTGTAGGAGAGGCAGAGCACGGTGGCCGCCGCCCCCTCCCCGCAGAACAGCGCCGTCGAGAAGACGATGCTGAGCGGCAGCTTCGCCCGCGACGGGGCGGCGGCGGGCGGGCGGTCCCCGCTCGGGCTGTCCATCGCGGCCCCGGCCCGGCCCGGCCCGGCCCGGGCTCTCAGCCCCGCCGCGGCGCCATCCCGGGCTGCAGCGGAGAGAAGAGCGGCGCTGCGGGGCGGGACGGGGCGGGGCGGGGCTCCCCCGCCGCACCGAGTCCCGACGGGCGGCACCGCACCGGCACCGCTCCGGTGCCGACGGGCCCCGACCCTCCAGCCCGGGGTCCCCCCTCCAGGTATCCCAGCCCCACCTTGCCCGCCAGACTCCTGCGCTGGGGCCCCCTGCAACTGCTGTACCCTGATCCCCACCAGGCGTGGAGCCCTCTGCCCCAGGACATCACCACCTGTGCCCCTGCCCCAACTGCCCTGCCTTTGACAGGGATCCTCTACCGAGGACTCCTTGTCTCTGCAGGGAAACCCCACCCCAGGACACCCCCAACATGGCCAGGATCCCCCTGCTCCCGCAGCACCCACCCCGGGACTCCCATTCCCCCAGCTATAGCCCTGTCAACCCCCATGCTACAACTTGCATGTGCTCTGGGGTCTCTGGGGTCCTCCTCAGGACCTCTCAGTCAAATCCTGGCCCAATCATGTCCTGGCAGCTACCAACACCCCAAGGTGCAGTAACATGCAGGGTCCCTCCAGGGAAGAATTGTCAGGCAGCTCCAGGGACAGCAGGGTCCCACTGTAGGGCAGGAGGGGATGCCAGCGTGGGTGCCAGCCCTGCCTGCATCAGCCAGCTGCCAAAGAGCTGCCTGTACCCACTACTGCCTCAGATCTGGGGCCTGACCCCAGCTCTGGGGCCTGACCCAATCTCCAGCCCTGGGAAGGGTATGTGGGGCCAGGCCGGGTCACCCACCAGCCTGTGGCTGTGTGCCATGTGGGGCAGCATGTGGGAGGAAGGGTATTGCCAAGGGAGGGAGCGTCTTGGTATCTCGCAAGCCAAGCTGTAACAGGGACACCCCTTCAGGTCCGGCAAGCAGCTGGAGTCTGTATCAAGATTTGGGTTGGATGTTACAGGGGAGATGTGGCTCCTGTATCCTGAATGCTGCTGCCTCCAGGTAAGATGTAGTGAAGACCACCTTGGCCTACAGATGAGCAACAGACTGCTTTTCCCATCAACTTCAAGGATCTCGCCTTCAGAGTGATGGGTTATATGGACTTGCTGACAGAGCCAAACCTCCCATTGCTGAGCCCACCACTCAGCCCTACATCCCTCTTGTCTGTCCCACCTTGGTCACCTGTACAGTGGTGGGAACACAAGGCTGTGTGGGCTGCTCCCCACCTCGATGGCCATGGTGGTCCCTGCTCTGCCCAACACACACAGTGCCCTCAGCACCAGCCCTGCCCACCTTTTCCCCATGAGCATCAGTGTGGACACGGGCAGGGATGCACACCCACTGTTTTGCCCAAGCACCCACTGCCTGTCAGATCCCTCAGTCCAGCCTGTGCACACAGTGGCTGGCTGGAAGAGATGGGACAAGGCAAAGAGTGTTTGACATTGGTCAGTTTTTCCTGGTTTAGGCAGACCAGGAGTTTTTAGGTAACTTTTAAAAGTCACTTACTGCTCATCCCTCAGCAGCCAGGCCAGCTCACAAGGAGATGCCCATGCTAGCAGCAGAAAAACTGTGTCCATTCACCTTCCCCATGCAAGCCAAAAGCACAAAAACTCCCAAACCCCATGCACAAGAGTTTTTCCCGTTTTACCAGGCTGAAAGCATTACCAGGGGTTTTGGTCTTAGCAGCAGCAGAGCTGGGAATAAAACCACCTGAGGCCTTGGAGGCCGTGTCTCCCCCAACAGCAATTCCCACACAGAAGCAATCCCTGTCTCTGCAGCTGCTCATTGCTTTTCCTTCCGAGGATGGACAGCTGCTTCAGGAAACCACAAACCCCATGAGCTCATAGGACTGGCCTGACCAGCAGGGATGGGAGATCTACGTGACAGCTCAGTTCTGGCATGATAGTTACATATTTTCAAGCTGTTTTTGGAAAACAGCCTCTCCAAAAAAAACCTCCAGAGTGTGAAGGGATGTGTCTAAAACACAGAAGGAGCCTGCCACCAGCCAGAGGCCAGCTGGGGTGGGAGCTGTGCACAGCAGCAGCTGTGCCCAGCTGGGTGCTCAGCCAGTGGTGGCACATCATGCGGTGCTGCCAGCTGCACCCACAGCTCTGTATGAGCAGCAAGAGCAATGTGCCCTTTGTACCATTTATGAAACTTCCACTTACCCAAATTAAAAGCATTCCCCAGGAGCCTGGCAGGTCACCAAGCCCTCAGCAGAGCAACGCCTGTGCTTCGACTCATCGTATTTTTAATTTCCCCTGCTTCATGATGAAATACTTGAGAGCAATTGTTTAAGCAGGCAAGAATTCCAGTCCTGTATCCATAAACCCCAGCAGCCATCAAGAGGAATGGAGAGACAAAACATCACAGCACTTCCCATACCAGTTATTATCCTATTTTCTGACCCAAGCACAAAGAGGCAGCGGGCTGTTCACGTCGTGAGTCACCTCTGCAGCCTGGCCCCACCTGTCCACAGCTCAGCACTGTAAACAGCAGATAGGCCATAAAAGTGATCTGTGTCACAGATAGCATCAGCCAGGGATCCTGTCCCACTGCCCCGCCACTCCCTGTCCCTGCCAGCTCCACGCCTACACCTCCGCCTGCGAGCCCAGCATGGCTGGGGCTGCACAGACACCCTGGGACACCACTGTCACAGAGCAACTGCCTGACCCAGGGCTGTCACAAGCCGGCAGGGCACTGGGGGTGTCCTACCCCGTTGTTCCTATGTTCAGTGGCTGGATCTTGGGTGCCTGCTGGCTGACCCTTGTTCTGAGTCCTCCCAGGAGCGGAACAGCCCCCAGGTTGGCAGAGATGAAGTGATGTGGAATCATAGAATATGCTGAGTTGGAAAGGACCCACTATGATCATCGAGTCCAACTACTGGCCCTGCACAGGACAGCCCCAAGAATCACACCATGTGACTAAGAACGTTGTCCAAATGCTTCTTGAGCTCTGTCAGGCATGGTGCTGTGACCACTTCCCTGGGAAGCCTGTTCCAACGCCTGACCACTTTCTGGGTGAAGATATCTATCTGATATCTAACCTAAACCTACCCTGATGCAGCTTCATGCCATTAAGTGACATCCGAGATGATGTGAAACTGCCCTGGAAGTGCCCATCAGGATATAACTCAAGGTATCAAACAGAGGGGGACTGTGCTGGCTTCTTATCTGCCTGTATCACCAATAGAGCAGCAGCAGGATGAGGACAATGATTGCCCCCCTGTACTGGGCACTGCTGAGGCCGCACCTCAAATCCCATGGTCAGTTTTGGGCCCCTCACTTCAAGTAAGACATTGAGGGACTGGAGCATGTCCAGAGAAGGGCAACAAAGCCAGTGAAGGGTCTAGAGGGTAAGTCTGATGAAGAGAGGCTGAGGGAGCTGGGGGGACTCTGCCTGGAGAAAAGGGGGCTCAGGGGAGCTTTTATTGCTCTCCACAACTACCTGAAAGGAGGTTGTAGCCAGGTGGGGGTTACTCTCTTTCCCAAGTAACAAGCTACAGGACAAGAGGAAATGGCCTCAAGTTGTAGCAGAGAAGGTTTAGATGGATACTAGGAAACAAATCTTCACTGAAAGGATGGTCAGACCTTGGAACAGACTCCCCAGGGAAGTGGTGGAGTCATCATCCCTGAAAGTGCTCAAAAAACCTCTAGATGTGGCACTTGGGGGTATAGTTTAATGGGAAACTTTACAGTGCTGGGTTAATTGTTGTACTCGATGATCTTAGAGGATCTTCCCAACCTTAATGATTCTGTGGTTCTATGATCTCTAGGACCACTTAGGAAATTGAGGAGTTTAGGTGGGATGCATGTTACTTCTGTCACAGAAGCTCCTAGAAGCTCATGTTTATTCCAAACCTCACTGTCAGGAGCTGGAGCTGGAGAAAAAGGCAGAGGGAAGGAGAAACCAATTTTCCCTGCACAAGAGTGGCACAGTGTCACCTGAGTCCCTTCCCCATGTTTTTCTGCAGACATCAGCATTCAGGAGTCTCCCTCTACCTGTGAATGCCCAAGGCACCGGCTGGAGTCCTACCACCATGTGTGGATGTCAATTCTCCTGTCTCCGCAAGTGTCTGCCCTGCCTTGGAGAACTTCCCAGCTTCATTAATATCTTAATCCCAGCCTTTATTATTTTTCTTAATCCCAGTGTTCACACAACACACTTTGCACAAAGGGCAGTGGCTGCGGTGGCCACCCACTGTGGGAAATGCAGGGTTTGCTGTGCAGCTTTTCCAGCCCCTTGGATGCCTGCGGATGTGCCAGGGCATTTGTGTGCAGGATTGTGGATGTGGGGTGGGAACAGGCTCCTTCACCAGCTCTCACTCTCGAAATAGTCGTGTCTGCTTTACACATGCCTGTCTGGTGGCTCAGCTCCTGTAAAAGGAGAAGAGAAAAGCTGTTTGGAAAAGGCAGGGAGCTCTGAGCCAGAGCTCTTAAAGAGCCCAGGTGGGGAGAGCTGCCAGCATGCTCCCCAAGCTCTACTCTCCTCTCCTCACTGCACTAGGACCTGGAGCAGACATCTCTCCCAGGGTGCTTGTTGGGACATGCCAAGAGCACGCTGCTGCCTTTCCAAATATAGCCCTGCACACAGAGGTGGAGGCAGCTGCTTGGGGTGTGGGGATGGCCAAGCTTCCCTGCTTCAGATCTGAAACCACCTCAGGAACACGATCTGTGCAGGGGATTAAACATTCAGCTGCTGCCGTGTGGGGCAATGGTGGGAATGTGTTGATCTCCCAAACACCCAGTGTGCTGGATGAAGTGGAAATCAAAAAGTACCCCCCCACTTGACATGCTGTGAGCAGGGGACACAGTTGTGTCCCCCCCAGTGCAGCCACTCCATCCTGACTAGCAGCGTTGGGAGATTCTGAGGAATCCATGAGCTAGGAATTTTTTACTTAGTTTGGAAATAGCTTTGCAAATGACTGGTTTCCACAGGCTAAACTGTTTGGATTTTGCATTGCTTTCTCAGTAGCCCAGCTGTATTTTTTCCTGCCCCAGCAGTCTGTGGAATAGTTTCTGGTTGGGGAAATATTTATTCCATTCACTTCATCATGTGACTGCTTTTACCGCTTCACTTCCTCACCCAGCTTCGGTCCCTGGTCCTCCTGGGAGAAAAACAGATGCTTGTGCTGAGGACCTCATCTCTCTAAATCTCACTGGAAGCTGTGCTGAGCCCACGGGGATCCAGACACTGGGCTGCCAGAGCCAGGATGCCTGCCTGCAGAGCATGGGCCATGTCACTGCTGCCTCACAGCTTCAATTCTTTAACAAGAAAGCAGAGTTACCTTTGGATGCATTTATAGGTCTTTGCTATAAATACACATTTTGAAGTCATGCCTCCTTGGCTACAGTCCCAGCTCAGGCAGTAGGTAATGCTGTAACACTAAACCAGGCAGGAAGGGTTAAAATTACCTTTAATTGACTGATTCCCCCTGGGTCCCCCCTGCTGTAAGAGTATACAGCCCTGACAGTGTTATAACCCAGCCAGGCTGCTCCTGTGCCTGCCCAGGCATTCTGGCAGGCAGGAGGATTGGTTTACACTCTCCTATTCCCCATGCAGGAAAGCAGAAGGAGCACTGTAATGCTCTCAGCAAAACCATTATAGAAGCCCAGATAGGGCTTGTAGCCATCACAGAGGCTTCCTAGAGCTGTGTGTATGGCACAGGAGCAAGCTGGCAGCTTGTCTTGCAGCAGGGATCAGAGCAAAGAGAGTGCTCAAATCCAAACCTCTCCCAGGAATTTGTGTGTGCTTTGGCTGGGAAGCACCCTGCCAGAAATTGGGTGAAGAGCAAACAGCTCCCTGCACATTTCCTGCTTGCTTCTGAATCTGACACAGAGTGATGGTACTGGTGTGGGAGAGCAAAGAATGCTCTGGAAAAACAATCTCCCTTACCCAAAATAGCTTGTGGAATGGTTGCTGGCAGTGGGATGCAAACCATCCATGCTCATTGGCACTATGCCAGCAAACCTGCCTGGTGCCCCAATTCCTCACCAACAGGTCTCTATGTCACAGGCTGTAATTATCTTGTGTTCCCAGCCTGACTGTGGGGTGTTTGCCTGTAATTAGCTCTTGGGATTTAGGAGCTGGTATGATCCGGGGTTATCGTTAGTCACCAGTGCCATGCTGGGATTTAAAGGGACAATGCGGTTGTTTGCATATCTACCACCTCAGTGTGCTGTCAGACAGTATGTTAAATAGAAAGATGAGTCTCTCCTCAAAGCCTATGAGTGACCTTGCCCCCCACAGATCCCTTTCTAGGCAGAGTTGATGCAGCTCCAAGTAAAACAGAACAGCTTGCTAATATTTCCGCTGTGACTTTTTGGTCTTTGTCATCACCTTGTCTCTGGTGTCACCCCAGCTCAAGGTCCTCAGTAAAGGCTGTGGTCAGCCCCTATAAGCCCCTATAGCTCTGCACTGCCCATCATGTTCCCTTGCAAACCATCGTTCCCCATGTGAAAGCTTCCCAGCCATCCCTCCCACTCTGCCTTTTGCCCCAGGGGTGTCAAGCAGGGTTCCCAGTGCACCCGATGCCGGCTCAGGCACATACTCACGGGGTCTAGGGAAGCCGAGGCAGGGCAGCCCGCCAGCCCGCGTCCATCTGCACTTCTCCACGGTCCCTGTGGTTTCGTCTCATTCCCTCGCCTGCGACACTCCAGCAGGCAGAAATAGCCCCAAAGCACGTGCCACCTTCTGGGGAGCGATGCCAGGGGCCAGGCAGCCCCAGCACCTCAGGCACAGCCCCCCCTCAGGGGCTCCTGGTGGCACCAGAGTGTCCAGCCCAGCACTGTGCCGGGGCACAGTCCGGGCATAGCGCTGGTGAGGAACATCTTCATTTATCCACCAAGATAATAAATTCTGCCTTAGAGTTTCTCACCTGGCAACAGTCACCAAGGAAACGAGAATGGCTGCTGCGGGTCCCCACTGGTGCTGCCTGGGGGGTCCCCATGGCCCTGGCAGAGGGTCTCCAGCTGCACCCTGTCTGGTAATCTGTGTGGGTGAAGGGCCAGTCACTCACGTGTAACCTGAGCCCAGGCACAGCAGAATGCCCATCGATGCAGGCTTGGCCTTTGCACCACCTCTCCAGAGCCGAGTGTGGGTTTCATCAGGTTTGGGGTGGATTTTGAGGTTTTCTTGGCTGTTGATCCTAGTGTGTGTGCATTGGGAGGAGTGAACTGGAGCTACCTCAGGCTCCCGGGGGTTTTCCGTGTCCCTGGCACTGGTTTGGTCAGGGATTTTAGACACATGTTAAAAGCAGTAGTACCCCAAGTGCTCAGAGATCTCTAGAAATCCATTGTTACCAGAGGGAGATGAGCTCTTGCTACCCTTCAGGATCCTGAGCCGCTGCCTCCAGGGCTGCCTGACACATGGCACTTCCCTATTTATAGCAGCTGTGGTCATGCCTCCTCCTATTCCCTGCCAGGCTGTCCGCTAGCAGTGCCACCCCTAAGCTCAGAGGCAGGCACTGTCTTCCAACAAGTAATTTCAGACCTAGTACAGCTAATTCTCCAAAAAGCATTCCCAGCCCCATGCTGCCTGCAAACCTGGCTCTAACACTGGTCCCTGCAGTTGCTGGGACAGGCACAGAAGCAATCAGGAAAGGCCATCAGGCTGGGGACAGAGTTCTGTCCCTGGGCCAGGCTAGGGTAGCTGATGTGCAGCCACTGCCATGCCATCAGTAGCACAGGGGTGACCAGTTACTGCAAATATGGCAGGTGGCTGTGATATCAGAACAGAAACTTCCTCCATCAACCATTAACCACACATGGCTCCCTGCCCATGGCATTGCCCTGGGGCACCTCCCTTGCCCAGGGTGGGTGCTGAGCTTCCCAACAGCACGTGGTGCTGGAAAGGGGTGCATAGCGCTGTGCCTATCCCAGGCCTGCACCCTTGGGGCCATACTGGATGCGAGGCAGCATCTCAGCATCTTTGGCTCATGGGTGGGATTTAGTTGGTCAAGGTAGTGCTGCTGGCACTGGGTGGTTTAGCATGGACCAGTGTGAGCCAGTGGGCTTCCTGTTTGCTCCACAGTACAGCTTTTGAAGGCTCTCCTTGTCCCTCTGGACCCCACTTCCCCCACCCAGAGCTCCTGCAGCTCAGACATCCTTGTATGATTTCTTCTCCTCCATACGCAACAGCGGCAGCATGCCAGGGAGGGCAGCTCTTGCTGGGAAAAGCACCAGGAAACCTGAGAAGCAAGATAAGAGCTTCAGAGTTACAGATCAAAGAGCTGGGGCTTTTTTCCTCCACTGTTGTTTGAGGGTCTCCACCACCTCCCTGCTCCCAGCCAGGCTCCTGATGGGGCTGGCCAGTGTTTCTGTCCCAAGAGGCAAAGGACCAGCTGCTATTCAGGGGGCATTCATGTTTCATTAGGGCATGAAATACAAGCAGTGAGCAGTGATGTCCCCCAGCCCGGCTCAGAGTGGGCCCTGGGGGGCAGCAGTTCTGTGCACACCACGAAGAACATGATCCTTGCAGGGGCTGCAGAGAAACATCCATGTGGGGATTAGGCAGCAAGGAGCCAGGGACACTGTTCCTTAGAAGAGGAATTAACTCAGCTGGAAACCCCACATCAGGCAATGTCCCCACCAAAAGCTGTTTATGCCAGCGAGGGAAGCACGATGCTGCCCAGCACCATGGGGGTGCAGTGGGGTGGGTGATGCAGTGCCCAGTGCAGCAGGCAGCCCCACGACACACAGTGTCCCAGCAGCCACTGGCCTGGGCCGACCCACCAGGATTAAAGGGCCTGTGAGAGTAAGTAATTTAAATCCAGATTAGATTTAAGCAGCTGCTACGCAAAGGGGATGTGAGCAGGGGTCGCACGGTGGGGACGCACGGTGAGAGGCTGACTGGCACTCCTGTGATTCAAGGGGCTGTCAGGGCAGGGTCTGTCCAGCAGGTCCATGCCCATGAGGTATTGCCCAGAGGGATGGATTTTATCCCTAGGTTTGGCTTGTGCATACCAGGCTGGAGGCAGCAGTGTTGGGCCATGGGACGGGGCATCCTGGGATGAGATGCTCCCAGCCATGGGGAGAGAGCACAGGCAGGAGGACGAAGCACATGGATGCGCTGGGCTGCTCACTGAGTAGGTGCCGAAGAGAGGCCATCCCTCCACACAGAGTTGCAGACCATGTTCCACCTCTTCTCCCACTGCTGGTCGTGGTTGCAAGCCATACAGGAGCCCATCAGGTAGGTCACTGTGCCTGCTCCTCGGGATTCCCAGGGGGCACAACATTTACCTGTGTGTTTATCAGTGGTGAGGGCACCAGTGCAGTAAGAGGGTGAGAGTGGTGCCCATTGCAGGAACTGTCCCCAGATTGCTGAGCAAGGCACATGTGTGTCCTCGCTGTCCCCTGAGCAGGCAGGAGCTGGCAGGCAGGGGAGCAGACTGGGCAGAGGTGCACATGCAGGGAATGCTCCCAGCAGGATGTCCCCTTTGCAAAGTCAGCAGCTCCCCAGGAAAAATGGGGAGGATGCACTGAAACACTGCTGTGTCTGTGTGTGTCCGGAGACCAAGGTTAATTACCCTGGGACAGCACTGCAGGGGGGTTTATGGTCCTTTCCCTCGAGAGGAGACCTTACCTGCTGAAATGCTGGAGGTGGAGCCATGCCACCCACACAGCCTGGTCTGTATGTTTAAGGAAGAAAACTATACTGCAAATGACTACTGTGGCTTGTCAACAACAGGGAAGACTTTCTCTATGTGCTTTGGTGGAGCACATTGCTGGAGACCAAATAGGATTGCTTGGCAACAGGAGAAACCACCTGAGTCCAGGCAGAAGCTTGTAAAAATGCCCTTGCTACCTCTCCCTAGTTGTGTGTACTCATAATTTACTGCCAAGGAAGGAGTAATCATTGACTGCATATAAGGAAGAATCATTTTGGCCTGTGCACACCATTGCTTAATCCTATATGATATGTAAATAAGTTTTTGCCATAGGAAGCACCTTGAAGGCTCTGCATAGTGGCTGTCCCACAGTGCTGAGGTGGCTCCAGGCACTTGTGCCTTCCCTCACCCTCTCCCAGGCACCAGAGCCCATCCCTGCCCTTGCCCCCAGCTCAGCCAGAGCCTGTGTCACTGTCCTGTACCTCTCCTGGCTGAAGTGCAGCTACTGTGGACAGGGTCCCTTGTCTGGGAGCCTGGGGGCCTGCAGTGGTCACCGCTCTCCAAGGAGCACAACCTTTCTCTGGGATGCTCAGCTGCTGTTGTCACTCTGCAGAAAGGTGACCCTCCTTGTCGTGGGGCTGGACAATGCAGGGAAAACCTCTGTCATCACGGACATAGAGAAAGGTGAGGAGCAGCACCAGAGCCGGCCTCAGCTGGAGGCAGCAGCTTTATTGTCCTTTGCAACCAAGTATCCAATACCCCTAAAAATACAGCCCCTGTTCTGGGGAAGTGTGCAAGGCACCAGCTGTGCCGCGGGCAGCTCTGGGAGCGGGAGCAGGGATGTGGCTGGGAGAAGAGGAGGCACATGCCGCAGGGAAGCTTCCGGGCTCCTCTGCCAGCTCTCTGCCCTCTCCCCACACACAGCACTGGCCGGGGAGGTGCTGCCCGACGCACAGCCCGGCCAGACCCGCCTGCGGGTGGACAGGTTCGAGGTGACGCTGGTGGATCTGCCCGGGGGGCAGCGATCCCGCAGTTCCTGGCGCAGCCACTACAGCGGGGCCCACGGGCTCCTCTTCGTCCTGGACTCCAGTGACCTGGCACGGATGGAGGAGGCCCGCAAGGTCCTGAGTCGCGTCCTGAGCCATCCCGACATCTCCGGGAAGCCTCTCCTACTGTAAGACTGGTCAGCGGGATGTGACCTTTGGGGTTTGAGGTGAGGGGGGTGAGTGGGAACCTATTTCTGGGGTTGTGGGTTGCGTGCACGGGCTGCTGCGGGGGCGTGGCGTCCAGGGTGTTCTCGAGGGGTGCCGGGACATGAGGACCACAGTGGCACTTAGGAGCATCCCTGGAGAGGAGATGAGGTGGGGGCTACAGTGCCAGGCAAAGGCTGGGGCAACGCTTCACCTAATCTCAGCCAAACTGGGAGAAAACACCAGCCTCCCCCGCCGTCGCGCAGCGAGGCGCCCAGAAGCCAGGGTGACGGCCGCGTTCCGCTCTCCCCATGCCCCAGGCTGGCCAACAAGCAAGACGCGGCGGCCGCGCTGCTGCCCTGCGAGGTGATCGAGCGGCTGTGCCTGGAGCGGCTGGTCAACGAGAACCGCTCTCCCTGCCGCATCGTGAGTGCGGGGCTGGCCCCGCTCCCCGCTCCCCGCTCCCTCTCCCTGCGGAGCTGCGCTCCCCGGGCTGACCCCCCGCCTGCCCGCAGGAGCCCTGTGTCGCCAAGCGGGGCCCCCCCGCCGGCCCGGCCCGTGCCACCCTGCAGGGGCTGCGCTGGCTCCTCCGCGCTGCCGCCGCCCCGGCCCCGCCGCCCGCCGAACCCGCACCGCCCGCCCCGAGGGCCGCCCGCGCCCGCCGGTCCGCCCGCAGGTGCATAAGGGGCTCCGCGGGTGCGTGTCCCCGTCCCCGTCCTCCTCCCCACAGCGCTCGACCTCAGCCCCATCGTGCTCTCGCCCCAGGGACCGGCCGCGCCCAGGGGAGGATGCTCGAGAAGGTGCGGGGAAGAACGGGGACAACCGGCCGCTGCGCCCCGTCTGCCACCTCCTGCCCCTGGTGAGTGAGTGAGACCCCAGGGGTGGGACGGGGTGGAAGGGGGGCTCCTCCACTTTCTTCTCATCCTCCTTACCCTGCCCAGGAGGAGAGCACTAAGGGCACCAGGAGGAGGAAGAAAAAGGTAAAGGTGAAGAAGAAGGGCTTGGGGCAGCCGAGCCCAGCTGAGGAGCTGGAGGGACCAGGAGAAGGGGGTGACAGACATGCGGGGGCCGCTGGGGGGCTGCTGCTCCCCAACAGGGTCGGGCAAGAGGAGCCTGTGCCCACCAGGATGGCCACACCCCACCCAGGTGAGAGGGGGCTATGGGAGGCTGCCAGCACTGCTGGCACCAGCACATCAGGACCCCCAAAGCCACCCTACAGGTAGGATTTGGAACCTGGTAATACAGCAGAATGCTGGACCACTGGTCCCCACCACCCCCATTAGCTTTGCTTGCAGACCAGCAGAGTGCAAAGCAAGGTCACAGGAGTCTGAAGGGGAAGAGGAGAGACATTTCTGAGCACCTCCGTAGGGAATGGTGCATGGAAGCAATAAAGGACTGAGGACCCGCCACCAACAGTCGTCTCAGGTGGTTCGGTGACAAAGGCATCTTTGCTCAGGTGTGGTGCCTGAAATTTTGTGTTTCTCTATCCAGTGCAGGGCATGAAAAAGAAAAAGAAGAAGAAAATCAAGAATAAAATTAAGTCGCAGGAATCTTCTGTGGAGCAGCAGCATGAGGAGGTCTCAAGCACCTTTGGTTGGTATTTCCTAGGACAGATTTTGCTGAAAGCATCAAGGAGCCTGGCCTGCTGGCAATGGGATGTGAGCTGTGCAGGGACACCTGGCCACGGGGTGCTTGGTGTGGGGACATGGGCACAAGCAAGTGTTGCTGCAGGGCAAGGTGGTGGCTGTTGGGGAGGCAGATGCTGCTGCCTCTGCCGTGAGGTGGAGACTGTGCTGGAGACTGGGGTGTCCTTGCAGCCCTCGCTCAGCACAGGGTGCCAGGTGGGTCCTGGAGCTGGCCCCTGGTCAGTGCTCAACTGCTTCCCTTCCTTGCAGACTTGTACCGCCGGGCGATGCTGGCTCTGAAGATGAGGCAGGAGCAGAGGAAGCAGCCATCTGCCATCACCCCCTGAGCAGGGAAGGCACAAACTAGGGGATGGGTGGTCTTAGAGGACCTAGCCTGCAGTGGCAGTGGGATCCCAGACTGAAGTGGCAGTGGGATTCATGCAGGGCTGCTGGGGTGCTTTTCCAGGGCTGGTAGTCCTGGGCAATAGATTCTGGAGCATGAACAGCAGCATTGTCCTTGGCGTGGCTTGGAAACAGGGCATTTGCAGGGACGAGCCAAAAGTCCCTTTGTAAGATGCTTCTCTGGCAGATGGCTGCAAACCCATCTGAAAAGGGAACAGCCAGCCACTTGCTGACCCCTGTTAGTATTCTGTGGAAGACTCCATCTAAACCCAGATTAGCCTGTGGAAGAGAGGAAGATCAGAGCAAACATCTCAGGGGAAAAAAACTTTCATCTTGAACTGACCTATGTCCCAGGAAAACTGTCTTCACAGGTCAGGGGCTGACTTGGCCTGTCAGTCAGTCCCTGCCTACTACCTGGAACAGTCTCATTTCCCAGTGGTGAAGATGGGAGGGCAGTCCCAGGTGGTCCGCAGAAGACCTTCACCCAGCCCACAGCCATATCTGGCAGTGTTGTCAGGAGTCCCCTCACACAGGGAAGGAGGGTTATGCCTGTCTTTGTGCATCCAGCAACCTGTCAGCAAAAGTTTAAGTTCAATGGCAACTGGTGGTAGAGGCTGCTGGAGGCTCCTTCCCCAGGATTGTTCTTCCTGATACTGCCATCCTCCCAGGAGGGACAGTGGTGACCTGTGGGAAATGCAAAATCCTCCCATGTCACTGGCAGCCTGGCACCCTGCAGCCCCAGGCAGTCACTGCTCTGTGCTCATCTCAGCTCTGAGACAGGACAACAAGCAACATTTGCATCCCAACACAACCCATCTGTGACACAAGCCTGTCACAGGGACTGAGCTGTGCCAGAGGACTGAGCTTGTGCTGCCTGGCTCCAGTTGGGTGTATGTGCTGGGAAACCAATCATCAATCCTGGAAACACTTTATGTGAAGTCAGGAGTGGGACGGTTTTCTCTTAACACCTGCAAGAGTGTTAGGACCTGAACTGTGCATTAGTCACCTCTGTTCCCATGATTACTGATAACAGGCCTTTGTGGTTCATGGAGAAGGAAAATCACTGAATCCCCTGGAAGGGCTGAAAAGGGAAAAGAAGAGAAACTGGCTACATTGCCTTGCCTGCCTGCTATAAAGTTTTGTCTAACTCTGCTGGATTCAACTGTCAGAGACTATAAGGATTCACTGTAAATAAACTGTAAATAATAAGAGCACAAATTAATACTGGCCTGTAAATACATCACTTTTAGTAAACCCCTTGTCTCTGTCTGGTGGAATTCCCTGTGATGTCAGTGCTGTGGGCAGGAGTGTACAGAAGGGACCTGCACCTGTGGAGCCCCTTCTCCTGGGATGGGTCAGGACCATGGGTACCCCCAGGGGGCCAGTCCAGGCTGCCAGCCAGGGTCACAAATCTCCACAGGATTAATGGGAAAGGAACATTAAAAAACTCTCCCCTCTAACAGCCCCTTCTCACACACCCACTGGGTCTGGGAGGAGGCCGAGCACTCCCAAACAGCTGGAATCCCAAAACAGCCCATGGCCCATTCACCATGGCTCCAGAACCATGTGGGGAGTGGGAGCTGAGCAGTTTTGGGACTGTCTGGCACAGACGGCTGCAGCCAGCTCCCTCTGGTGATCCCCGCAGCTCCTGGCACTGCAGCTCCTCGGCACCTGCAGCAGCAGCCATGCAGGGACACAGCCCTGTGTGACACCCACAGTCAGACAGGACAGCCAGCAAGGCAAGTCCAAAGGCAGAACTGGCCCAACTGGTGCTGCTGGGCAGCTGAAGGAAACTTTCCCTGAGAGCCAGTTGTAAGAAACCATTAAGGTTGATCTAACACGTTTCCCCTGACATAATGATCTCCAGCCTGTAGTGCAGACAGTTAAAATATATTTCAGAATCAAATCTCCTTATCCTAGTGCTTCCATGGGTGGAGAGCAGCCAATCCCTACTACAACCAGGAGACAATCCTGGTCTGCACCAACCAGGAATAAGACTTTTATCTTCTTTAGAAAGTGAGCAGCAACAACTCCGTGTTAAAAATGGTCTATCTCAAAACATCTCAGGAATACCTCAGAAATGAGATGTGATCAAACATAAATCAAAATACATTAATTAATGGCTAATCCATGCCACTGGATAATTGTTTGGGCTGCTTCTGACACGTGTGAGAAGCGGCGGCTGTAGCACAGGGAGCATGCCTGGGCCAGGCAGGGTGGGCAGGGTCCTTTTTTCCATATTTCTCATCCTTTTATTCATCTTACATCCCAATAGCTGAATAACCAGCAAGGGCAGGAGGTCTCTGGGGGGCATGGTCCTGGTGGCACTGCCTCCTGTCAGGGGGATGAGGTGCAGCTCTGCCCAGGGTGGTCCTGGAGTGTCCAGTCTGCTGGTGGTGCACTGAGGCCAGGCGTGGGGCCCAACAGTGGTGCTTGCCTTGAGAAGAACAGCCCCAAAAAGAAGACAGTGGTGAGTGGTACTCTCCTGTGAATTTTGGGTTTGTTGGAATGTGCTGGAATGCCAAATATGCTGAGAAGCAAATGCTCCAGGGAGATACATTTTCTATCTCTTGTGCATGCTATCAACAGAATTTTCTGCAGAGAGGACTGGAGCCAGCTGGGTGACACAACCCTGCTTTGCATTTCAGCATTTTGATATTATCTAGCAGATCCTTCTTTTCTGGTTCCCAGAGGAGCTATCTCAGGAGGGTCAGGTTAGGCAAAACCTGGTACCTGCTCCCACCATGTTTTCATGATGCCTCAGCCTGGGCTGTGGCTGCATTTGTTGTAAACTGGTGTGTGAGTTTTGCATTTCTACAGCCCACTGTCCCTGGTGGTGCTCATTTGGAGACCCACAGCTGCCAGCATGGTCACCAGCAGCTCTCTCCATGGCATATGTCCTTTTGAGCCTGTAGGATGGAGGGATAGAGGGACAGAGGGAGGAGACTGTGTTTGTCTGAGCTTTGCAAAAGTTGGTGGTGGTTTGTATGGTGCCAGGCAGAGATGAAGAGACATTTCCGTGAGTGCCTGTGTGCATACACCTACACAGGGCATGGCTGGTCTCATCACCTCACACCAACATTGCACAATCAGATTCTTTCCTGATGCCTGTTATTGCTAACAAAATTTAAATGGGTGAGCAGGGAGTTGAAGAGTAACAGAGAGGCTACTGTGCTTCTGAGAAGAGAGCTGGGAAGAGCATTGCTTCATCAGTGCTAAAAACATTGCCAAATCTTCCAGTGTACAGGACACCATGAAGAATTCCAGGGAGCAGGAAGACCTGGAGGAGAGCCTGGAAGATGGGACGACACGATGAAGCTGCCAGTCCCTCTGGCTGCACCCACAGCCATGTTGTGCTTTCTTCCACGTCATTATACTTCACTTTCTGCCCACTGGCTGGGCTTAGCCAGCGATTATACTTTATGTTATAACACCTCTTTGCTCCTCTCTACCCCCAGGAGAGGATGGGGAAGGTGATCTGACTCTGAAATCTCCTCTGAGAACCTTTGATTTCTCCCAAGGACATGGACAGGGCAGGAGATCCCCCATGGCAAGCTGATCTTGAGATGTACAGGTATCTCTCCTGCTATTCATCCACTGGTGTATTTTACTATTAAAAACTCAGTTGTGTGTTTTTTTCCCCATATGAGTGTTTCCAGAGGAGTGTGAACCATTGTGGGTCTCAGCATTGTTTCCAGTTTTCTGATGGAGACATCCTTTTGGAGTCAGCCTTCCTAGCACCTGGAGTGCGGATGCTCCATGCTCGGAGGGGCAGGACAAGGAAGGTGAGCCTGGTCCTGGGGTGCTCCACACATCAGGGTGCCGTGGGGTGGCACAGCCCAGCAGCAGCCAGGCCCCATGAGGGAAAAAAACTCAACAAAGAGACAGAGACTTGTGATTGTGTGAAAAACATGGTGGTTCTTTGTCTGCTCCTTCACTAACTCAAATTTACAGAAGAAGGAGCCAGGAAGTAGTTTTGGAGAGCACCTCAGACACCGGAATTTGAACACTGACTTAAGGCTGTAAGGGCGAGTGCAAGTGGAAGTGATCCAGGCTAATGGGTGTTTTGCAAAGCAAATGGAACCGATCACATCCTGTAGGGTGCCTGCAGGTGGTTCTTGTTCCCCATCAGCTTACCCATAAATCCCATCACCTGTTCAAGGGCATATATATACAGCCAGGGGGAAGAGCAGGATTTTCCTAGGAGACAGACTTTGGGGTTTGGAGCGGTTAAGGTCTTTCCTCTCTGCTTTTGGCTGAAGGTAAAGAAATTAATGACAAGTCTCTTGCCCCACAGCAGCAGTGGCTGGTGGGGAGGTGTGCAGTCCCTGCTCCTTGGCTTTGTCAACCCTTGGGATAGGGCTGGAGGTATCACAAATGCGCTGGTTAGGCAGCGCTAAGGGGTGGGGCTTTTTTCAGGTTACATTGTTGTCTGAAAGCTGGTTACACTGTGTACATACTTAAATAAACATGTATAAGCAAGCTAAGTGGATTTTAAGCCTGGGCATGGGCGTTTGGGTTGATAAAAGCATGTGGTGGATGGCTTTTTGAGCTTGAGAAGCTGGTTGCTATGTACACTTTCTCATGCTTGCAGCACCTACCCTCTGACTCTGACCAGGGTGGGCTAGGAGCCAGGATGTCCTTGTGGAATTTTCCTAGCTGAGATAGACAAAGCAAGTGGTGAGAAGCACTTTCACTTTTTCTAAATGAGCACAGTAGGGCACAACTGACTTTCCTGGGAACATTCAAAATATTGAGCTGAGAAAAGCTGGCTTGTGATATTGGGCAGCTCTCAACACATTGAATAACGAATAACCATGCATGGGTTTCTTTTGGAGTTTTGTTATCAGTTGTAGATCCTCTGTTGTATTGCACTAAAAGTGAGAGTTGGAGTGTTTGCTGTTATGTATTCTGCAGAACTGTTAAAAAAATAAGGCTGAATTTA